CTTCAATGGCCTCCTCAGGAGGCATAAAGCTGTCACCGCCCAACTCTGAGCTTCGCAAAGATATTTGCTTGGTGAAATGCGTAAAGCAATTGTAGCACAGGTAGTCCAGCTTGCTCACTTCCATGGAGCTGCCAGACGGGATAATTCGCTTCAAACAGTCCACATCGAGCTCTCTCACACTGCGAAAATTTCGCTGCATCGGGATCTTCTTTTTGTGCTTTGCAAGGTAATCTGCGCAAAACACTCGCTCCGAGCTGTGTTGTCGCCATAACGAGCTCATTATGAATAAAAAGTCAACACGAAGTAAAGGAACAAAATTGCGGGTTTAAACTGTGACTGAGCTGGAGTAACGCAGGTTAGTGACAAGTTGAAACAGGGAGGCTCCTTCGTTCGAAGCACACAATTATACACAGAACTACACAAATTACTCCCGCAACGAAGCTCCAATCGTCGCAAAGAAAGAAAGAGAGAAAGTCTCCGGGCAAAGGAAATAGACAGCGGCGAAACTATTCAGGGTCGAATGCAGATATCTATGTTTTCTGCTGAAAGGCGTCCTTGAGTCACACCGTCACTCGTATCGGTTCCCCAAAAGAAACGCCGCCTTTTCGCTATCTGCCCAAAACCCTGCTTCCCACTAATCCCTTTTACTTTGAGGGTTTGTCCACATCCAAGCAGATCCTAATCACCGCCGTCCAACTTGGCGGCAACGTTTATTGCTTCCCAACATTTTGGTAGACTCCAGATGGAGGACGAAGAGGGCAACACAGAACGATCACCAACTCAGCGCCGAAAGATTGTTGTCTCTTCCAGTTTATTAGGAAGCCCTAACCACCGACCTTCAGACGCCCGATAGATAGCCTCGCCTCCCCCTCCCCTCCCCCCCCCTTCCCCTTTGCTGGCTCTCCACATGCCAAGACGCCCATCACTAAGCAAGCCGGCCAACCCCTTTCCCTCCCCGTCCCCAAAACAGTTTCCCGACCGACACAGGCAGCCTAAAGTCCTTCCACACCTCCCAACTTGCCCTTCCAAGAAAATACCGACACCGGATATCTTGAAATAATTCACCCTCTCTGCGATAACAACAACACATTTTTGTATGCTTTAATTTTTTTTTTGTCGTTTTTTTTTTTTTCATTTTACGTTTTTACACTTTACGGCACTGAAGAAAAGCAAAAAGAAAAAAAGAAAACGAAACGTTTAACCAGATTTGCATCTAAGCAAACAGATGTTGACCCTCCTGCGTCCACAAAACCAAGCAACACCCCACATAATACCCGCCAAAGAGTGGATGCCCAAAGGTTAACTTCAAACACATGAACGTCGAATATATATATATATATTCTCTCTTTTCACAAAATAAGAAGTTGCAATCATTGCGTCGCAACACAGGGACACCCTGTGCCGAGCTTCGGATAAGGGGCTTGGTAGAGGAGCTGTATCCATTGCACCATCAATATGATGCAACATGTTTTTAATGGATATTAACCGCTAGATAGAGTAGAATGGCTGAGTAGAGTTAAAAAAAAATAAAGAACCTTTTTTTTTTTTTGCTTAAGTCGCACTGGAAATATTTTTATTGTGGTGCTTGTCTCGTGTTTGCTTGCCAAAATTCCCCCAACCCACGCAATACAGATTTGAATGTTAGGTAATTTACTTCCATTTATAAGTGTCGTATTGATTTAAAATATGACTCTTCTGGCTAAAGTACTTCCTAAGATACAGGCCTGCAAAGTTGGGGAAAACAGTCAAACAGCCGAAATTGATGTTTTTTTTGTGATTTTTTTAAACATAATAAACAATAACAATATTTCTTTTGTACTGCTAAGTACACATAGATTGTGCCTAAAAATTGTGAAACTCGCCTAAGAAGTATAACTTCCGTTATTAATCACCAAATTTTACCCCTCCGGCTACGCAAGCAAATGAGACTTTCCACTTCTACGTAATGTGCGACATTTTGCGTCTGACGATTTTTTTTTCTGGGTGAAAATAATCTTATTTTTTTATTTTATTTCGGACATCGGGAAATAACATATACAATTATGACCCAAATTGAAAAGGCCGACCAGCCATCCTCGTTTCGATCGTGTCTAAAATCACCCTGTATTTGTTGTGTAATTTATTCTATATAATGCGCAATTTATAATAACGTGCAAAAGATGTGACAAACTATTACTGGCTATACTCGAATGAATAAAAAAATTACTTTTCTCTCAAAGTAAGAAGTCGCAATAACTGCGTCGCACCACAGGGGTACACCGTGCCGAGCTTCGCAGAAGGGGCTCGGTAGAGGTGCTGTATCTATTACACCATCAATATAATGCAACATGTTTTTAATGGATATTAACCCCCAAATAGAGTAGACTGACCGGTCAGAGTTTAAAAAAAATCGAGAACGGGTTTTTTTTTAAATCGCCCTTAAGATTTTTTTTATTTTGGTGCTTGTCTCGTGTTTGCTTGCCAAAATCTCCCCAACCCGCACCTAAATAAATTTGAATTTTAGCGAATGTACTTCCATTTATGAGTAGCGTATTAAATTAAAATATGACGTTTCTGACTAAATTATTTCCTAAGATACAGGCCTGCAAAGTTGGGGAAAAAACGGTCAAGGAGCCGAAATTGATGTTTTTTATTAATTTTTTTAAACATACTAAACAATAACAATATTTTTTTTCGCATTGCTAAGTACATACAGATTATACTAAAATATTATGAAACTCACCTAAGAAGTATAACTTTAGTTATTAATCACCAAAGTTGCCCCCTCTGGCTATGCAAGCAAATGCGACTTTCCACCTCTACGTGATGTACGATTTTTTGCGTTTGACAATTTTTTTTCTGGGTGAAAATAATTCTGATTATGTTTATTTTAGACATTGGGAAACAACATATAAAATTATGAAGCCAATTAAAAAGGTCGACCAGCCACCCCCTGTTCGATCTTATCTGAAATCACCCTTTAACTTTTTTGACAAATCAATGCAAAAATTCGAACATTTTGAATTTATTTAAGATTCAAGCTTGAAAAATTCAGATTTTATAATTTTTCGAGGTATAGGGCTGAAAAGTTTGAAATTTTCGATTTTAATTTTTAAGTCTGAATTTCATGGATGTAGGTCAAATTCTGCAGTTTCAAACCAAGTTTATAAATTCATCTAAAAAAATTCTAAAATGTGCTACAAATTTTACTGAAAATGTTGCCCATGGACTCTTATGCCAAGAATAGACTCCTTTCTAGTGCTGTGGTACTGACAGCACTACCTGTATTACTCATTATTTGTCGTAGCTTATCAAACAAGCGTTGAACTGGTTGAACGCTTCATCCAAAAGTCCCGAGGTGATCAGGTGAACATACTTCTTACTTATTTGCGAACTAGTAGCAATGCGATCAAACGTTGCCTAAATATAATGCTGGCATGAGACTAAATATGCAGGACAACACATGCACATAAAGGCATCCAGGCTTCCCGAAATTTTTTAGTTGCCCTGGGCATTCATTTTTGGCAAAATGACCCGTGGGATGCAGAAAACACTGAACACAGGCCCGTGGGATGCAGAAAACCCGACACAAGTCAAGGCTGAGGAGAATACAACCAGACTAAATTAGAGGACCACCAGGAATTTTAAAATATAGCTCGTCAGATCGTGACCAGTTGTTATCGGGCTGAACATATTGTCGCTCCCTGGAACTTTTCTTCTTTCATGAATCGAGATATTAGCCACTCTAAAATGCAACCGGTTACTAATGATAATGAAGAAAGCACCGATTCAGCGTTCGCTGTAGCGCATTGGCATAGCGGTCCACGTGCTTCTTTTCCTGACTCAATGTTATCGAGGAACTTGCGTTAAAAACATCTAAGGCTATAAAGGACGCTTCCACTGAAACGTCTTGGTTAAATTTCAAGCCTGCAGATGGGGGATCTGTTGGACCACAGGTCACCTTAGGGCAACCTACGAAGTTGTGCGTGGTAGAGGCTCTGTGCAGAAGTTGAAAGAAAAAGGTCTAGGCCACCCCATAGTTATCATTCAGCGCTTTACAAGTCAGTTGTTTGTGGCACGATCAGTTAAGTAAGACTCTAGTGCAATCTCAACTCCACTTCACACATTGACATGTTGTGTTTTTTATTTGTTGCCTCGAACCTGTGGGGATGAACTTGGTTCGAAATTAGTCTATCTTTTGTTCAAAATGTTGGAAGTTTGTCGAACTTCTGAACTTAACAGGTTTGAAAATTTTTAAATCGTTGAATTTCTTAATGCGATAAGCTCGAAAGTTAAAATATGTTGAATTTCATAGCACGAAAAATCAGAAGTTTGAAAATAGCAGAAAATCTGAGGGCCAAAAATTCAGAAGTTAGAAAATTGTTGAATATTTTATGTAATAAGTTTGACGTTTCGAAACTTTGCAAACCTTTCGAACCCCCTGGTTCAATCCTCGAACCTCATGTTTGGAAAACGTTTGTGGCATCTCTAGTGGCAGACAGAGGAATGGACACAAAAGTGCAGAGGGTTTGCTCAAAAATGTTTAAAACTGCTCTTTTTTTTTCCTTTTCATTATGTGTGAAATTTGCAACCTGAAATGTTCCCGAGATTGATTGTGTCGAGAGAAAATCCCCAATTTCATGAATACTGTTTGAACAAAATACCAGCTGATTTCTCTCGTACATGTTTTCAATTCTCGTGCTCCTTGCAAAAGTAAGGATACTAGCAGGGGGTGCAGTAACATCTGGTTCTCACTTTGGAGTGTGAGCAAGTGCACTAGAGCTGGCGCCATGTAGCCCTGGAACGGAGCTGACTAGGCTGAAGGTTGCAAGGTAAAATCTGTCCGGGAAAGTCGCTCGTCGTCAGAATTGTTTGAAGCATATCCTTAGGTGGGCTCCCTGATAGCGCCAGCCTTCCGTCATGAACAATGGAATGCCCGGTCCAAGTGAACCTTGGGGACGGTTGAGGCGTTTTTCAGCTGGCATAGAGGCGACCAGCTGATTCCACCTGAATGTCTGCAGGTGTGAGCCACAGTCAACGCCATACACTCCCAGACCAGTTCCGGTGCTTCTCTTGCGAGACGTACACCTGCGATGACCAGAGTATATGCGATGAAGCTGTCATGGTAAGTCGGATCTTCTTATCTTACATGTCCAAGGACAGTCAGTGCGTGGCTTGCACTAGCGTTGCAAGATGCGAAAGTGGTCGAGACATCTTTGTTAAAAGTTTACCGGACAGTAAAATTGACATGAAGAATGAAAACATATTTAGGTAGAACATAAATGATTCCCGTCAGGTGTCGGGAACATCTGCACATTTCTCAACAGGCTCAATAAGATGGAGGAGCTACTGTGAAACGAGACAAACCGGGGAAGTGCAAATGTCACCGTGCTTTGTGCCACGTCACCTCAAGAGAAAAACACATACATTGTGTGTGTGATTCAAATAGCGATTTACAATATTTGGTTGTTGGACAAAAACACTAAATCATGCTTTCACTCGAGACATCTGACCATTATATGCTTTTGTGTAAACTATTCTTCTCGGCGTCGGATCTGTGGCTCTATGACTCAATTTAAATCAGCTTGTGTGACCAGCAGTGCTACTTCTATGCTGCTCTAGTAGGAATTGCAGTTGGCCCATGTGACACCAGTAGCAATTGCTGTTGGTCGGGGTCACGACGCATTTTTCCACAGATTTCACCAGATTTTGTCGCTTTTCCTGGTTCACTAACCAGGGCACGAGAAGCTCGAGAATTTCAGCAGATTTCCAAAATCTGGTGTCAAATTTGACTACTATTTAAAACACTAGTTTGCACATGATGCCATTCCACAGTGTTTTGGTTTACTCCTTCAGTGATAGGCAAGGCGCTTGTAAAAATGTATTGGAATAGAAATACAAAATGCTTCGACAAAAAATGTGTTTAATTACCGATGGAAATAAACTTTGGAGAAAAAGTATTAAATACAATACTGTCGAGACCGGTTATAGCGAAATAGCAGCTACAGCAAAGTGATTACGATTTCCCATTTGCACTCTTTCAGTGCTTTTGTGTCAGTTTTGAGCAAAGGAAATTGAGCAGCTCCCGCGAATATAGCGAAGAAAAATTTTGTGATAATTTAAAAAAAGAATTAAATTTGTAAAGTTTACTAAGTCTCGGACTGCCGCACTTTGCTGCTGCGGCCAAGAAGCCACCCAGAACAGGCTGCAGAAGATGATGGAAAGGCTGTCTCTGCAACGTCGTCTGCTCCCCGCTCCTTATCTGGGAAGCACCGCATCGCATGCAGAGAATCCGTCGTGGCATGCCGATAGGGGCGTTTGGAGCACTAGCGACAACGTGTCAGCGGAGATGACAGAGGGAGCCTAGATTTAAGGAGGGAACAGTAAGTACACCTGCATTTGATTGTCACCTGACCAGTGTGGCGAGGAAACTGGGCAGAGGGGCGGGCACGTTTACAGAAGGTCAACGCTTCTGAGTTTTGACTCCTTGCATGATGCAGCTCGTTTTGCAAATGCCACCCACAAATCACGTGACACGATCAAGTAGTTGCCCCATCTCTTAAATCTAAGCTTTCTATACCGTCGACAGACAAGCTTGAGTGCAAGCTTGTCTGTGCTTCTTTGTTTGCTGCGTGATCTGTTTCGGCGTCTGGTTGGTGAGGTCGCTCTTGTGCAAAAATCTACTTCGCTCAAGCAGCGATTCAGCGAATCATCGCCACTCAACAATGGAGAGTCCCAGCACCGCCGGCACCTTGACGGGGAAGACGAAGGCAATCTCCTTGAATCAAAAGAGTGCCATCCTCGACAGGGTGCGCATAAGTGTAAAGAATGCCATCCACCGCCGGCGTCCTCCGCAGGGCTGTCGCAGCTGTCGACACAGTCCGTTGTAGCAGGATCTTTTTTCAATCAGACCTTCTTGCAGTTGGCGAGAAGTGGTGCCGAGCTAGCAGACGGCACGTGCAGGGAAGCCTTGACAGCTTTTTGCAGGCTCGATAAACATGTGCCCGTGACAACTCGTTTTACCTCTTTTTTTTTTTTGTGTTATTTGTACGAGTTCATATATAACAAAGAAGCTAATATAGCTAGGGTTCCGCGTTTTCGGTTTTTAGTTTTTCAAAATTCGGCTTACTTTTTTTGGTGTCTATTTTAAAATTCAATTTTCGTTTTTTTTTCGGTGTATATTTATGCCCACAAAAGTTTACCTTTTTTTTTTTTTTTTTTCTCGGTTACTATGAAAAAAACACCACCGGACACCGGATCAGATGATCCTTGTAGCTCTGATATTTGTGATCACCCAAAGAATAACAGCACAGATACATTGAAAAAAAAACAAAAAACATTGACACTTTATTTGGCAAATGTTTACAACTGTAAAAAAAGAAGAAAGACAGAAGTACAAACAAGTCAGTGCCCAAAAAACATGGAACTTCACCTTCTATACATAAGGATTACTTGATCTGATAGTAAACACACATGTGTACTTTCCCAGGTTCTCCTCGTTGATCCACGCTCATTCTTTCCTGTTAATGACCCTGGGCTTCGAGAATGCCCTCTCAACGTTAACACTGAACACTGGCAGGCTGAGGAGATGAAGCGCTGCCTGAGCCAAAATTGGCCAATCAACGAAATGTGACTACCAAAAGAGACACGGTGTGACGTTGTGAAGCACAACATATTTTGTGTACTCGCTGAACTCTGGCTGCAGATTGTGCATGAAGCAAAAAACCTTCTACTAGCCCACCCCCAAATGTTAGAACCAGGAACTGAATACACTAAGCCCGATGAGAGAAAGGACACAAATATCCCGCGAAGGACAACCTCTTTTGTTGCATGTTGAACCTTGGAAGAGGGCAATCGCAAAGAGGTCACACAATGTGGAATTTTGCAACGCCCTCCCCCCGCCCATCTCGACGCGGCCCTAAAAACTGACCATTTTCGGCTAAAACAGAATTTTAGGAAATGGATTCGGTGTACTTTGATCGGTTTAAACTGCGAACGCCCAACCTAAAAACGGACCTTTCTCGGTTCAAATGGGTTGGCCGAGTGAGCCATCCAGAGAATCTTCTGAGCAACCCTTCAGCACAGTGGAATTCTACAGCATCCTATTGGAATGGAGGAACATGCCAAGAGCTCCTGCAATCCCCAGCGTCTGATGGGATGAAGGACGAGGATGCAGCTGCCTACGCACTCCAAGCTTTTAGAGCCTGAGACAGTTGCCATATTTTGTCGTAGTACTTGGGAATTAACGTCTGTAATTTAGTGAATATAAGAAATTAAAAATCGCAGATGCATTTTATTTTTATGACCCCTTGAATTTCACTTTGCTAATGCTCAAAATATGAGCTCAGGTCACAATAGGCTTGTGTTAATTTTCTGCACTTTCTGTTATCGCCTCAAATAGCACATTATTCATTTTGGTATTTGTCTCGAAAATTGACAGTATTGGGAAAGTTTGGAATATTTCTCATGTTCATGGTCTATTCTGGTGGATTAGTTAACTGCGTTGAGTGTACCACTCAACACAGTTAACTAATCGAGTGCAGTGAAGCAACAACCGCAAAGTAAGCACTGTTATTTGCTTCACCGTGGCACACCCATATAATAAAGGTAAAGCACCCTTCCAGAGCAGGATGTTGCACACGTAGGCGTCAAACATATTAAAAAAGAAAGAACCTTAGCGAGGGCTCATGTAACTTCTTTACCTTGCCGTAAAAATTTCTGAATAAAACGGGTATATTCTGAGGAGAAATGTTTTTAAATAGACCGATCTCAGCAGCCAGTTTAGCTATGCCACTGCTGCTGCAATGCATTGAGGGAAGGTCTTTTGTGCACTCTCCCGTGGACTGAAGTCATGGTGACGTCACGCATGCACCGAACGCTTGGTGAGATTCAAGCTAGGACACTTTGGTATTACGAGAAGATTGACTTGGAGGTAGATTAAGAAGGTTATCTACTGGGGCTAGTAGCCGATTCATTGTATAACAGAGCTAAAAAGACGATGTACACCACATAGCGCTCTGTGGTGTTCATTCTCTTTTAACTTGTCTGTCATCTTTTTAGTGCTTTGATCTTATACAATCGGTAGATTTATTTTTTATGTAAACTCTCTCATTTAGCTATCATCTCCATATGGGGTCCATTTGTTTGTTCGTGCAGTGTATAAAGTAATTTAAGACTAAATTAGCTGGAGCAGTGGATGGAAGCTTTAGGGATGGAAGCGCTGCGCCAATAGACCATTTGCTATATTACCCCAGCATCAAGGAGAATGCAGGGATTGGTGTTCCACACGCGCACGCCTTCCCCGTATAAAGTATTTGAAGGAAATAACCAAAATAAAGCGTTGACAAAGGCGTGTGCAAGATGCCTTTTGTTTTAGGTATTTGCTTTAGAAAAGTAACTACAGCCGAGGCCAGCACGTGCGGCACGTGGAACACCAATCCCTGCATTCTCCTTGATGCTTGGGTAATATAGCAAATGGTCTATTGCGCCATTGTGCGCCAATCCAATTTTGCTGCGCCATCCTGCTCCCAAGCGCACATGTAGCACCAAAACTAGCCAAACAAGGTTGTTTTTTTAAGGCTATATTTATTGAATTTTTTATTTTTTTTTTATTGGCCACAGTGGTTAACTGTGTTGTGTTTGTTCTTTTAGAAAACCGTTGCCGCGTACCGCGCACTACGGAGCCTACCGTGACAGCGGGGCCAGTAGTATGCGGTAACGTTTCAAAGGCCCTATTGCTATGAAACCACGTACCATACCGATGTAGTCGTGTCAACGGCGTGTAAACCTGATCTCCGAAAACTGCTCATGCACAGGTTGCTTTGTCAGAGTACTCATCAGAACTCTGACGAACGACAAAACGATGCTTCAATGCATCGTTTCGTCATTCACTTCATATTCTTTTTTTTACACAGTGGCATTGAGTATGATCGAGTGTATTTGAAATATGACACACACGCATTAAATCGCCGTAAAGTCTCTTACAAGGCCTGCCCCCTCAAAAATCGCACATCCTTTTTTTTTTTTTTTTAATTTTATCTATTGAGTGATTGGCGGTATCGGTATACACGACAAGCGTGCTCACCGCGGGTTCCCATGTGCTTATCGCACCATGACACGCGAATCTGCAGCATCCATACTATACAAGGTATCCCTTCCCGTGACATGCAAATTCCCAATTCCTTCTTGCATTTCTTTTTTTTGCCCGTGATTTCTGCGCGCCATATCAGTTCCCGTGACACCCGAGTTTGAGCGGGCAATAAGTATGTGGGAATTCACTAGGAACTCCCCTGTCATGGGTATGGCAGTAGAACACGGACGCAGCGCGAATGCGCTGCGTCTGTGTTCTGCTGCCGTACCAATGACAGGGGAGTTCCTAGTGAATTCCCACATACTTATTGCTAAACTTGGATTGAGCGCGTTGGTAATAAATTCAAAAATATACGAAAGAGTCGTATATTTTTTATTCTTATTGCACTCGCGAGTTCGCCATGTCAGCGATATGTATCAGTATCGAAAAGACAGTGAGTGCGCAGGCGAGCTGGTGATAGTTAATCATTATGTTTAAAACTTGAGACTGCGGTGAAGGAATAGTTAAGAAACTCTGAGGTTGAAGACATTCCATTTCACGTAGCTTGTAATGCCCCCCCCCCGACACACGCGCGTGCGCACAAACGCATGCACACGCACGCACACATGCACGCAGGCACACACACACACACTTTACCTTTTCGTTTTGGGTTGGCATTCTTTTGGGACCTTATGGCATATAAATGTACATAAGAGCTTGCTGGCATTTGTTCACCTATCATCTAATTTCTGGGGAGAGCAATTACTACTCTATGAAAAATAAACATTTGGCATAATATATATTTATTTTTGCATGTTTGGGGTGCTTTTGCTGAGATTGCTTCCGCGTTCCTCATTCGTGTAGTAAACGTACCATATAAAAAAAGCGATAATTGGTTGCCTCGATCATCTGTAGAGTTTCTTGTAAATGACGTATGTGGTGAATACACCTTGTGGCACTCGAACAGCAAGTTGGCGGGAGGACGAGGAGAACAGTGGGAATGTCCTGCTGAGCGAAGTAAATTCTAAGCCGTTGTGCTAGATTGCATCCAAGCAATGCGGAGAGCAAGTCGTCTGCTTCTTGCACAGCAGATGCGGTGACTTCAGAACGACGCTGAGCTCCGATTGGTTTTGATTGAAATGATAGTGGGTAGACCTCAATGCTAGGTGCCTTGAGATATACCCACTCTTTTTTTTTCTAATCAGCCAATAAGAGCTCGCCGTTTTGACGTCATGCAACCCCTGTGCAAGAAGCGGACAAACTTGCACTTCGTATTGACTTAAGGAAAACCTTCCGTTTTATGGTCTTACTTGCTAGTTTTGTCAGTCTAATTTTTTTTATTAAACTCCTAATCAAGCTCTCTTGTTTTTATTTAGTCAGTGATGCCTCTTTTAGTAAGGGTTAATTTAGTGTGTGTGTATGAGCAGGAATGGTATAGGTGGTATCATGAAGTTTTCAATATTTTGCATTTATACTTTTATCATACAGAGTAAATTTGTACTCTGTCAAGGATTGGAATACTTTTGATTTGTACTCTGTTCATAGTATTGGAATACTTTTGTTGGCTAAAAAGGGACTTGAAACTTTTGTATTTCCTAATGATGAACTGTAGTCAGTATGGGACTGGGTTTTGTTTTTGACTTACGGAACGTGCGATTTACGTTGTTAAACAGTGAAAATGTTTTATTTTCATGAGGCTTATGTTGTTTTTTTTAGTTGCCTATGCCTGCTATTGTAAATCCATGAGAAGAACTAACCCGCTACCACCAGGACAGTTCTCAATGGCAGCCATTCAAATATATCTTTTGCTATGGGCTGGAATACAGTCAAACCTCATTATATCGAACATGGATATATAGAATTATTGCTTATATTGGATCATTGTCGAACTATCATAAGAATTACATGCATTTTATATTTTTTACAGCAAACTCGGTCTGTTAAATAATGAATATATCGAACTCTGCAGCGCCGGAAAGCTGCGCTCCGGAGACAGGCGGCAGGCTTTCCCGTAGCACATCGGAGGATACGGCGGGCTTTCCCGCAACACATCATAGGATAGCAGTGGCGCAGCAGGCGTTTGCGACTTTCAGTCAGCTCAATCGTATCGCCAGCATCGCTCTTTTCTTGCCCTGTGCGTGGCTCCCGCAGTTTCGTTCCTCCGGGTTCGTTCCTCCGGCATTGCTTCAACCGCATGGGTGTACTGATGGCAACAATTGTAAAGAAACGTACATCGCTGACGTTTGCGACGAAGCTTGAGATTATCCGCCAAGTTGAAAAAGGAGAAAAGAAGTTCAGCGTTGTCGAAGCGTACAACACTCCGCGAAGCACTTTGAGCACGCTGCTGAAGATGTAAAGCGACATCAAATCGAAGGATGAACGATGCAAACACTCCGACGCACGCCGTGTTCGGACACCGGCCTTCGTAAAGGTGGAAAGATCACATGTGGTTTATGGACGCAAGGGCTCGGAACATTCCGGCGTTGGTCGGGGCCGATGCTTCAACAGAAAGCGAAGGACTTCGCGTTCATCCACCAAGCACAAAACGTCGCCGCAAGTAGCGGGCGGCTGCAACGCTTCAAGCCCTGTTACGACATTGTCGGGAAGACGGTCTTGCTTTTACACTGCTACTGCAGTGCAAACTACGGTAGTGGTCTAGCGCTGGTGGACTGCTTGGAGACAGTGGAGCGGGCTGTAATAAGGCAGCGGTCAGCTCCATGAAGCAATCTACGCTGCGACAGTTTTTTTCGCCGGAATAAATAGTTCACCTTAACGCTTCACGTGAGTAGTTATTTTTTGCCACTAGCCTTTTAGTGATTAAATCGCGCTGTGCTTTGACGCTTTTTTTTTGTGTGATTTTTTTATATTGAATTTTAATTATATCAAACTATTTCATGGTTCTCGCCCTGTTCGATATAACGAGGTTCGACTGTATATTTAAGGAAAGGTCATGTTTGGAAATGGTTCTGGAACGTCACATGGAGATGCTTTTTTATTTATATTTCTTTTTGTATTTCGAAAAACACATCTGTGCTTATAGCACTAAGCAGCTCCAAGATTTGCTTATACTGCTATGAAACTCGATTTTTGTTGCTCCTGAGCTGCTCCGAAGCTTAACTTTTACTGCTCCAAAGCTGGTCCAAAGGGGCATCTTTGCTGCTCCCAGACCTGCTCCAAAAGGCTGAAGCTTGCTTCCACCCCTGAAGCTTGGCAATAACCTTAACGAGGCATATTCATTGTTCGCATGCCGATTTTTTGTTATCATCAAGTTTAACATTTATTTGCCATTGACATTCATTTTCAAGTGGCAAGAACTTTGCTTTTATGTGGAATGAGACTCACACTTTTATTACAAGCTTTAGGGCTTGAAGGAAACATCAACTTGGCTGCTCAAAATGATTCTATTTATCTCAGTGGGGTATACTATTTGGTTCACCTCTGGTTCCGTAGTGAAAACAACCATTCACAGCAGTTCATACTGTCCCTTATCAGTCTGCAGCTTCTTGCCATGCCCTCTACGTGCAAGTGAACAGCTGTGTTCTATGTTTAAGGGAACCTGCTGTGCAATTGAATAACAAAGGGCTCGACAGGCCAAGAGATGAAATTTAACCTAATATTGGCACTGGTATGAATGAAAATGAAGTATGTGCTTATGCTGCCAATGTTTGTTTGGCTGCTTCGAAAGGTGCTTCAAAAGGACTCGGACCAATCTCGTCGCTGTAAATTGGACTTTTCTAACCCCATTTAACGTACTTGTGTTTTAGAGATTTGTATATGAACGAGCTCTGCACCGAAAGGGGCTGTGGTAGACCATTGTATGGCAAAACGGACCCAAGAGACAAAGCTTTTAGCGAGTTGAAGGATCTCGATCACATTTTAACTCAATCTGCTGCATTACCTATCCGATTTTAAGTTTCACATTAACTTAACGCAGGGCGCTGTCGTAGAGTAAGTTCTAGAGTAGCTTTTTCATTAGTAGCCCGCCACGTTTTCACAATACAGCAACTCCCAACTACTACTTTGGTTTGCAAGTTCCCAGATCGCTAGCCAGAGACACTGTTTGTCCCAGCCCTAGCTTAAATCGCAGCAAGGAAAACATTATTCTCAGGGAATTAACCCTTTAGAAGGAATGCAGGAGTTCACCTCAAGAAAGCGCATAAAAAATGTAATCTTATTTCGTCTTTCTGAATTGCATTCTTAACGAGAGTTTCTCTTGGAGGGCACAACATGCCACAAACTGTGGGATGTGAATGACAGAACCATTATTTATCAGGGGCTAGTTTTGTCGGGTTTCAGCGACCTGTGCCCAGGAAAAATTAATTGCAATCTTAGTAAACATGTCAAAGACTTTGGCGTGCATAGGTTCAGCATTGTTTTGTGTTGAAAGGTGCGAGGAAAGACGTTTTTCTTAGGGCGGCTTCTTGTCCCCGCAGTGCTTCAGCTTCAACGTGGTGGATGGCAGCGGCAACAGCCGCTACTCGAAGGGCTGCCTGCACACGGACGACATGGTAGCCCTGACCTGCAAGACGCGGCAACTGAAAAGCAGGGGCGCCAACTCCGGGAGCTACAGCGGCAGCTGCTGCCAGGGAGACCTTTGCAACAATGGCTCCTTCCCCACACTGGCTCCCAAGCCCTGTAGTGGTATGCCTCTGGATGGTTTGGCTCGGGTTGGCCTGTCTGCCGAAAAGGCAGAAAAGCCCTGTGCATTGCCTCGGACTGGCCTCTGATTTCTATCTTGAAGTGGACGCTTGCCGAGCTTGCGACACTTTGAAGGCATATTGGACCAGCTTGCATAGAAGCGAATTTCTTGGAAAAGGGCTGACCTTTTTGCGAGAGCAGTGGTGGCATCTTGTAATTAGTGAAGGCCTCAATGCCTGCAAATGGGATTTATAGAGTGGAGCTTTGGCACTCAAGGTGGTTGAGAATAAAGGCCGACAACCAGTTTGCACTTTCCAGTTTTCCATCGCTTCCTCCTTTCCCTCCTACCCTTTCTACCGTTGCCTGTTTCCTTCTCCCCCCCTTCCACATCCCCTCCTCCCTTGTACCCTGCTCCTCTAAGCCCACGGAGGCTAAGCTATAGATCCCAATTAGAAAGTCCAAAAATGGGTTACTGTAGGTTGCAAGCGAGCAACCCCGACATGATAGACAAGAGGCTGGAGTCCGTGAGTTACAATGCTGTTGACGTCAGTGCAGGTTTTTAGTCAGCGTGCCGTGCATTGGTATTCCTTAATACATTCCACTGAAAGTTTTTTTTTAATGTTTTTAAATACAACTAAAATTTTAGTGTTCCATTTTTTTTTTCTAGATATTCTTTTTTTTAAAGAAAACATCTCATGTGCATGTATAGCCCCACACACACGCTGGTTCGAAAGTTGTGAGCATGAAAACATGTGATTGTGTGTTCAAGCAAAATAAGCCACAGCCTCCCTCCCAAGAAGGGGAGATAGATCCTGCTTCCTAGATGCATTGACTTGTGAGTGTTTGAGTTCCCCCACCATATCCTTTGTACACATTGTGGCTTATCTGCAGCTTATCTTTTGCCCTGAGTCGTACAAAGAAGCTTCTTCACTCTTCCTTGTGGTCCTCACATTTTCATAGGAAAGCATCCTGATCTAGGCTTCTGACAGGGGGCAGCAGTTTCGAACAAACATCAATTCACGTTGATTAAAAAAAATGCGGTGTTCAAAGATGCACCCAATGAAGGCGTATTGTGCAATACGAGAAACATACTCAGTTCTCGTTTCCTGGAAGGCTCCTTCGCTCATCCTCTGGTGCACAGATTGTGTCTCGTCCATTGAGGGTGCACCCTTTAACAGATGCTCACTTGCTTGACCTTGAACCACCCCACCATCTAAACGGCTGACCCATCCCCCCCTTTCTTAGTCCCCTCTTTCCGTCTACAGTGTTTTTTATCCTTTGCTTCCCCGCTCGAAGACGTGGAGAGGAGGGAAGCCTTGCAGAATATTGAGTCTGGTCCTTTAAACCGGCTTCGTTTTGATCCCGAGGAACGCCTGTCGGCCTCAAGTGACAGCCTTCCGAACTCTCATCAAAATTGTTGCATTAAAGCAGTGCAGACTTTGTCAAAAATGCTGCATGCTCTAGGGCTGTGGTTCTTAGCCATCGATGTTTCGCGGACCCCTTGTGGATCGGCGGAGATAATGGAGGACCCCGTTCGTGGTGAGAGGAGAGGAAAGGTGTAGGTTAATTATAAAAGTGATTTATTAAATGGATATAAGTAAGGGCTAGTGTGGAGTAAACTTCTTTTTGACATACCTACGAGAAAACTCACCCAAAAAATTTAAATGTTTCTTCACAATCTGAGCAAAGACAACTTTTATTGCCGGACTTGACCGATGAGGCAGGGCTTTGCAGACCCCTAGAATGCCTTCGCGGACCCCAAAAGGTCCGCAGACCCCCATTTGGGAACCACTGCTCTAGGGAGTACTTGCCTCATAGTTGTGCATTTGGTATAGATCTACCCATGTCTATCATGGCCCATGACATCCCAGCTCCTTCCTGTTTTAGTCATAAAATTGAATTTTAAAATTCCCTTCTGTGTTTCTCCACTGAAAAAAGTTGCTCTAATTTCCCCGAGAAGGTGGTTTTAGTTCCTGGGGACCTCAACGTGCAGCGCATGAAAAGTTGCGGGAGCTGTCGATAGAAACTTTTAGGGTTGTGCGAATATTCAAAATTTCGAACAGTAGTTTCGAATAATAGACTATTCGATATTCGCTTTGAGAAGAACTGCGCTATAAGAGTTTTTCAAAGCGTTGATTGCGGTAAGTTAGCCCCGTTGAGTGCGCTTCTTTCCGAGCACTGGTGCACAGCGGAGAAGCAATACCCGCGGAAGCAAGCTTTGCGGGTGTTGCTTCTCTGCATTACATCGGTGCTCGGTAAGAAGCGCACTTAACGGGGTAACCCGCCGCGATAAACACTTGGAAGAGTATGAATATCGCAATTGCGTGCTTGGAAGAAAGCATACATTCAAATCAGGATGGTGCACGTGTGCCAGCTGTATTTGGGAATAAATGGTAACTTTGTGAATGTGTATTTCTACATTGTAGTAAAAGTTCCAAAATTGATAGTTATTCAAGAGTATACTATGTTAGGCAGAGATGCCTTTACAACCTGCGTTCAACATGTGCAATTATTTCTTTTTTAACCCGAGATTCAAGAAGACTTATTTTACATAGCAGAATTTGTAAATTCACTCAATTGGGTATAGTTGGCCATCTCTATAGGATTCATTTTATGTCAAATTTGTTATTTACTTGCCATCCCAAGACATCAGATCTTATGAAGACATAGTTAAATAATATAGATAATCATAGCTTATAAATGAACAAGTGGAACAACCTTCACAAGTTAGCTGGGTTTTCGTCTAAGCATTATGCAATGGTAGTGAAAGGCATGGAAAAACTATTCGATATTCAAATTGAAAATATTCGGCCAAAACCATTATTCGCTTCGAATTCGCTTCGAACTCAAAATCCACTATTCGCACAAGACTAGAAACTTTAGCTGAGCATTGGAGAAAGAGAGAGAGAGAGACGGCTATGGAGGACAGTTGCACAGCAGGCACGTTTTGGTTCTCGTGTGGGTTTGTGGAGAACGGTGTGTCTCATTGATTGCCTGGAGCGTGCTTTGGAACCCCAGGTGCCAGGGAGGCCCCCTGGCTGCCCATCTGGGTGCCCCTCTGTGTGCTAGGCCTGCTGGTTCTGCTGTTGGCGGCAGCTGCCCGAGTGCTGCTTGTGCGGCGCTCGTACCGGCGCCAGACTGCGGCTCTTCTTGCCGCCAACGACGTCTTCTACGGCGACGAGCTCCGTATCTCGGCCGCAGGCGACAGCACCCTACGCGTGAGTCCCCTTTGTCCACTTGGCTCTTCTAAGGACAGCCGAAACAAACTTGTGCTACAACAAACAGAAAGAGCAAACCTGAAGCATGCAGTGGTGGAGCTGCTGTGCCGGAACGAAGAACCCGCTACATTTCAAAGGCTGTGCAGAATTTGCGCCATGTCTGCGCTAAAAGGGTGCTGTTCTTGGAAAGGAAACTGAAAATGTCTGGCACATGGCATTGTTGGCGATGCCACTGAAGATGAAAAAAGTACAGTTGTTGTCGGGTTTCTTTGTTTGTTTTTGGATGCCTAAGTATTGTGTGCGAAGAGTAGGGTAGCGCGAATATTAAAATTTTTGAAGAGTAATTACTAATAATATGCTATTTGATATTCGCTTCGACATGAACTGCAATGTTCATATTTTTCAAAGTGTTAAATGCGGAGGGTGAGCCCCCTTGAGTGCGCTTCTCCTCAAGCACCGGTGCACTACGGAGAAGCAATAACAGCGGGGCTGACACCGCCATCTCCCGACTCGCTTCGCCGCAGCCGTGCACTTATACGAAAAACACACCTTCAACATGGTATATAGTGTATGTGTGCACCTGGTGTATTGAGAGACAAAAAAAGGAAAAGGAAACTTGATCCTATATATTTACATTGCAGTAAAATTGTCAAGCAGCAATGTTCTAAAAACCTGTGTCCATTATTTGTGCTTGTTTTTTTTTACTTGAGAATCTAAGAAAATATTTGCTTAGAGCAAGAATATTTATAAATCCCCTCAATTAGGTATGGCTGGGCTCCTTCATAGGTTTAATTTCATGTCAAATCTGTCTTTTACTTGCCATCCCAATCTAGGTATTGGACTTTCTAAGGCCGCAGTCTATAAATATAGCTAGATTAAATTTAACAGAGCTCATTAATGGGCAATTAGAAGCTTGGGAACAACCTTTGCAGGTTCAGCTGAATTTTTGTTTAAGCACAGTGTAACAGTAGTGAAAGGTGTGGAGAAAGGTGCAGCAACTATTCAATATTTGATTAAAAAATATTCGGCCAAAACCAATACTATACGCTTTGAATTTGCTTCATACCTAAAATCCATTATTTGTACATGCTTGACTACTACAAAGCAGAGAGCAGCGTGAGACATATTCGACAGAAAAATGTCTGTTTGATGTCGATTTAACAGCAATTATGTCACCGTGATATAAACCCTACAAAGTAGCCAAAAACATCTTTTTACGTCGAACACAGACCAAAGACGCCATCAGTACTCCTAAGAGCTTCAATAGACCCTTTGCAAAGCGTACAGCGCCACGACGGCTGGGAATTTTGGGAACCCTCGGTACAGATCACGCGCTTTCTCGTTGCGCCTCCGCGACTGCACGCGCGTACCGCCAGCAGCTGTTGCAGCCATCCCGCCCATCCGCCGAGTCGTACGTCGTTGGCGGCGTACCGTGTCTTCGGCTGCGCAAATGCATTGCGACAGGTGAACTTATTTGAATACGTTATTCGTCGTAACTTCACGTAGTGGAAGTGTCGCTGAATCCACTTATTTTGCACCGCCACCGTGGCAAGTTTCGACCAGGTTCAACAAACCATTGATGCAGCACACGACAAAGCGGATACAGAGGAGAGATGTGAGAAAGGAGCAGCCGCCGTTGGCTCGTCGCTCGCCAGACTCGGCTGCTCAAAAGTCGTTGCCGTGGTAACATGTGCGTGCTTGCGTATGCCATGTGGTAGCGGGAAGAGAGATGTTGGGAGGGGCGTACCGAGAACTCACATGTCACGGTGCTTATCGCACCGTGACACGGGAATCTGCAGCACCCATACTATGCGGGTATTCCTTCCCATGACATGCAAATTCCAAATGTGTTCCCGCATTTTTTTTTTTCTTGTCTGTGATTTTTGCGCGCGATATCGGTTCTTGTGACACCCGAGTTTGAGGGGGCCGGATTCTTGCGTCTATATCGCATTGTGAAGTGCAAATGCGCTGCGTCCGCGTTCTGCTGCCGTACCCGTGACGGGGGAGTTCCTAGCGAACTCCCAAATACTTTTTGCACGCGCGAGTTCGCCGTGTCTGCGATATGTATCAGTAACGAAAAGACAGTGAGTGTGCAGGCGAGCTGGTGATAGTTAATCATGATGTTTAAAACCCGAGACTGTGGTGAGGGAAAAGTTAAGAAACTTTGAAGTTGAAGAGTTTCCGTTTCACGTAACTTGTAGTGCCCCCTCCTCCCCGACCCCCTCCCCCGACACACAAGCGCATGCGCGTGCACGCATGCACATGCACGCACACTTTACCTTTTCATTTTGGGTGGGCATTCTTTCAGGACCTTATGGTATATAAAGGTACAGTCGGGGACAAAAGCCCCCAGGACGTGCGAGCTACGGCTGAAACGCATTGCTCTGCCATCTGCCGGCGGGTCGCCTGGTTTCGAGATCATACAAAAGCGCATGTGCGTCCTACTCTGCCTGCAAACATGTGTGTTTCCCGCTCTTCTGCGGCACAGCACCTAACTAGGAATCGGGCACGTGGTACCGCCTCGGAGATAGCGCTGGCGGCTGACGAGCGTCTGCTACACATTCCGAAACTCGAGATATCGCCTGGGGCATTGCGCCGCATTTTGCCGTGTCAGCACACTTTGCTTTATAGCCAGTTCAGCTTATCGCTCAGTTGAGCTGCCGTGACTTCTTGCTTTATAGGTGCCATGTCATTAAGCGCTACCTCCGAGGCGGTACCACGCGCCCGATGCCGAGTTAGGCGCTGCGTTGCAGAAAAGCGGGAAAGCGCACATGTTGGCAAGCACAATAGGACGCGCATGCGCTTTTTTGTGATCTCGAAACCAGACGCCGGCAAATGGCAGAGCAATGCGTTTCAGTCGCAGCTCGCACGTCCTGGAGACTTTTGTCCCCGACTGTACAAAAGAGCTTGCTGGCATTTGTTCACCTATCATCTAATTTCTGGGGAAAGCAATAACTACTCTCTAAAAAAATAAACATTTGGCATAATATATTGATTTTTGCGTGTTTGGGGTGCTTTTGCTAAGATTGCTTCCGCGTTCCTCATTCGTGTAGTAAACGTAACATATAAAAGCAGTAATTGGTTGCCTCGATCATCTGTAGAGTTTCTTGTAAATGACGTATGTGGCGAATACACCTTCTGGCACTCAAACAGCAAGCCGGCGGGAGGACGAGGAGAACAGTGGGAATGTCCTGCTGAGCGAAGCAAATTCTAAACTGTTGTGCTAGAACGCATCCAAGCAATGCGGAGAGCAAGTCGTCTGCTTCTTGCACAGGAGATGCGGTGACTTCAGAACGACGCTGAGCTCCGATTGGTTTTGATTGAAATGATAGTGGGTAGACCTCAATGCTAGGTGCCTTGAGATATACACTCCGTGCGATGCTACGGGCGCACCGCCGCGCAGCTGTTATCGAAGGTAGGCAGTGAGAACCCCAGGGAAACCGAAACCACGCCACATACGTTGGTACGCATTAAAGTCGGAGTGGTGCGGTTGCGCTGGGTTCGCAGCATGAAGTGCGGCCGGTGCTGCGTCGTTAAGTACTTCAATAGTTGTGCGTCGTATCTCGTGGGGACAAAGTTTCAGTTTTTCACCTTGCCGATGTTTTGTCGGACAGCGGCAACGATGGACCCGTGCCGTACTACGTGAGAAATTTAGCCTCCCGATCATATCTGCCACTGTGTCAGCACGGCTGACATATTCTACACTGCCGCTTTGCGCTCTGCGTTTGTTTTCGTACCAGTGATGCCTACATGTGTTAGTGCCAATGGGACAAACTGAAATGCCATCTCACACTCGCGGGTATGCAGTGCCAATTTCGTTGGAGGAATGGCCTCCAAAGAAGTTTCGTCCCCATCGAATGTGTCGATGATATTTCCGGACAAGTATGGCCCGCAATCTGTACTTCATGTAGAAAGATTCAAATGATGAAAACAAAAGTGACAAATATGAATCTAAGGAAAACTACAATGAAACTTAGAATCACTGGAGAATCGACGATTGAGTATGTAAGTTTTTGTGGTGTGCTTTCTTTTTTGATCAGCCTCCTTTTAGATGTGGAAACGCTGACACCCCGAGTTCTGTAGACAATTTTTTTCTTCTCGGCTTTAGAGCCACCTATCACAAAGTTGTTCGAACTGGAAGTACCGTCCACTGGTCCCTTCCTACCTGCAAAGTGTGCACCTCCCACATTAGTGGTATTATCTTGACAGCCTTTGACAGTCAAAACTGGTTCCCACTTAGTTATGCCGCCCAAACTAAATTTCCACTTGGTTTTGCTATGCCACCTCTTTTTGGTATAATAACTGTTGTGTTAAGTTACGGTCATGTCAAAGTACCTGTGTGCCGAAAATCAGCACCTCGCGCAACTGGTTATTACACAACAGCTGACCGCAAAAGCCTTTGACGGCCCAACCGTGTGTTGGCCGACAACTTTGTTTCCTTGGCTTTAGAACCACCTTTCGTAAAGTTGTTTCAATTGGGAGTACAGTCCACTAGTCCCTTCCTACCTGTAAAGTCTCCACCTCCCACGACGAGTGGTATTCTCTTTACAGCCCTTTCATGGTCAAAGCCGGTTACCATTGAGTTACGCCGCCCAAACCAAATTTCCACCTGGTTTCCCTATGCCACTTCTTTTTAGTATAATAAGTGCTCTATTATGTTACCGTCAAGTCCAAGCACCTGTGTGCCCAAATGTGCACTGCGCACAGCCCGGTTATAACACAACATTTTGGGTCCAATATTGGATATCCCGTACAGCTTTATTTTTTTATTCGTTAGAAACATAACTTTCCCACCTGCTGTCTTAATGAAACTTGGCCCACTTGTGCAGAAACTTAGTGAACATCTCACTCGCCTCCAAATATCATTGTTCCAGCAGTCCCGTTTACAGCTACGAGCGAAACAAATTTCCCATTCAAAGCAATTATGGTGGCGGCCGTCTTGCTTTCCGGAAAATTGCTCCAACTCCTTTTTCTGCCGCAACTAGAGAAATTACCACTAA